GTCTAGCACTCATGTAAGGTCGGTCACAGGTAACACTGATCAATTCAGTGTCTCTGTAGGCTTGCACCAGGGATCAGCTCTGAGCCCATACCTCTTCCTGTTGATAAAGGGTAGGCAGATGATGAATTTTTAAAATTTGCATGCTATCAAATATAGCGAAATGTGTCTTGTGCTTTAAAAATTGTAAACCACCTACTGTGACTACCACATTTTCTGCATATATATATTATTATTATACATTTAATATACATTTTTATGGTGTCATAAACAGATTTGAAAGCCTTCAGTAACGGAATTATACTGGTCGGCCGCTAATGAGTATGCACTCCAGCGGACCTATATTGATTTAATTTTTACAACGAATTGAACGAACGAATTGAGAGTACAATTATTTACATTTTTCTCTATCTTATTAAATTTAGAAAGATTGAGTTGGTCCCGCCCCGGAGCAGCACACTTTTAGCTTGCTAATTCATTGATCGATGTCATTTACCTTGCATCTGTGTCGGTTCATTTCGAGCAAAGCTGGTACAATCCTATAATTTTACATGCCTTAGTTGTTTAAATATTCAGTATGGTTCTGCTCTACTCTGCTGTTTGTTAAGAAATGAATATTCGTTTGAACAAAGCTCAAATAAACTAATACGCATTTACATTTTAGTAGATGATATGAATGTCCGTGTAATGACTGATTAAGAATACAGAGTGTCACTACGTCCATTCATCCCGTGGGTGTCGTAAAAGCCCACTAATGGAGAAAACTAAGCAGAACAACAGCACTGCAGAGAGAAGGAAAACTTGACACAGACCCTATACCAACCCGTCTGGCCATCGTGGTCCAGCAGTGGACTATTAAAGGCTGTTAATGATGATGTAAGATGATATGAAAGAGTATTGTAAAGCTCATAACAGCTGGTGTATACATTAGAAGTAGCCATGTTTGCAACATATTAGTGGTACAGCCAAATCGAAAACAGCATCCTACCTCAGTTCTTAGTCGTAGTAATATACTTATGGTTTAGGAGAGAACGTGCCAAATGCAGCGGGCCAGTGCCGCGTTGGCACTTGGCATAGGCCCAACAAAATATATCCATACTACATAATAACTCTATTTGTAAAAACAGCTGTATTGTTTTGCATATAAATTTGGGTTCGATTCCCACTCGCTGTTATTAGATATTGTTCCTGCTATAGTAACCAGACTGCTGATAACATACTTTAATACTTCTTAATACATACATATTATATGTAAGATAAATTACACCCAGACACAAACCAAATTATTTGATCATCTAATTGTTATTTATTATAGCTGAGAAACGAACCTAGGGGTTAGTGAAAGTTTCTGCTAAGGCAGAGGTTCGACTAGCGGACTAGTCAAATACGTTCTAACAAAGTAATCTTGTTAAATAAACAAACTATCTACTCATTAGAATTTAATATAATAGTTGTATAATTATCCCATTAAACTTAATAGCGATTAAACCGAATGTCGAAATGAGCAAATAGAACGGGTCGGCTTTAAACTAAAAGGGTTTTAATATGAGTAGGCTTTGCTACGTGGTGTTTTGATTTGTAAATATTAGAAATGTTAAAAATGTTAAAAGCATGAAGTGAAAAAAGTTTTCAATATACAAATTGACGGAAATAAGACTAGAGAACGACCACAGGAAAGATGGATGAACTGCGTGAAAAAGAATATGGCTCGAAAATTAAGTAAGCGGTAATCTGACGAGTGCTAAATTAAAATAGAAGAAGAATAAATTTCGGAAAAGGTGATGATGATGATGATAAAAAAGAAAGCAAGTTCCAATGTGAACATGTTATATAACATGTCACAGAATGGTTTTAACGTTCATACGAGTGACTATTTTTGAAGCGTTATGTAAAGACGTAAACATTTTGGGTTGCCCAAAAAAAAAATTAAAGGGTTTTGCTTAGAGTGCACTTTAAACATATTTTATTAACTATAATAAAAAAAAACATTGATGTTTTTTTTTTAAATACTATTTTTCATTAATACCGAGATACGTCTTACCATCTATCATAATATTTATTCGTGTCAGGCCTTTCTCATACTAAATAAATACATGTACCATTTGCCACTTTCAAAATGAGGTTCGTCTTAAATAAAACGCTTTTTTTATCTTCGATCCAATTATTAATTAACTATTTTAAGTATTGTAAAAAAAAAACTTCTTAGTTGACAGATATTCACTGCTAAACATAATTTCAAAATAAGATGCTTTTAACCATCTACGAGTATTCCCTGAAAACCCTAATAATTAACATCACCTGAAAGTGGTATAAAAGAACTCACGACCGTCTATTAAACTGATAAAACATTCTTTTTATCTATGTTAAGATTATTATAGCAGCAAACACTAAATATATGTAACGGGAAAATATCAGAATGCATTATTATCTGACCAATTAACACTATCCTAAGATCTACTATCCTTTACACGTGAAATATAAATGTGTAACAACAGAACATAATCAAACAACAGATTACATTTTCAACAATTTTTTTATACAAAAGTCAGCAAGATTTATTACAATTTCCTATTCCCTCCGATACCTAAGTTTTTATAATTTATGCCCAATAAAAGGGGACGGAAAACAACCCATTACTTACCCGACATTATTTCTATTCGACGCTTCGTTGAAACTCAAACCAATTTTACTTTCGAGTCAGAACATAAAATAACCGACCGTAAATTACCTGCGATGTTTATTGCCATTTTAGTGCACCAAAATCACTGGATTTCAGTATTAAGAGGAGAATAAAACTTGAATTCGAATTGTTGAGGATACTTATTAGTTTCCACAGCGTCCGTGTTTTCAATTTTTCTGTTTTACAGCAAATTATTTTGTATTCTAAAGCAATAAGTGGAACTGTGATGTGGCTTAGGGTGTTATTTATTATTATTATTTTTCAATTTTTATGTTTCACTTCACTTTATCTTTTTTTTAAATCTTATTTTTCTCTTTATTGCTTTTTTCGCTTTTAGTCCTTACTAACGGACATACTGGCACACATCAAAACAATGTTGTGGTATATTTAATGATACCAGTGTATCTATCTGTAAATTACAAAAGAGTGGCCATGAGTTTGTTTGCCCTTTCTTCTCATAAGGCTCAACCCCTTGGAAACGGGTGGTTGTAGATCGGCACAGGCATATCATAGATTTTGTATAAGTATAATTATTATTAACTATTTGACAAAACAGAGATTGTTGCTATTGTGTGTGTGTTGATCCACGACATTAGAGTCTACATAATAGGCGATTTCAGACAATTTTATTTTGTTTATGAAATAAAGATATTTAGGATTTCAGTTCAATACATAAGGCAAGAGATGTCAAAGTTGCCTGATTATAAACAGTTTATTTGTGATATAAGAGGCAAACTAGCAGCTACGATTGCGAGCTAATGTTTGTATTAAATTTTCCACATTACTGTATTATTTGATATTCATCATTAATAGTCCACTGCTTTACATAGACCATTTAAAAGTGAGTCCGGTGTTTCCTATGTCATATTTGTTATAGATTTATTGAGATGTCCATAACCCTTAAAAATAATACTTCCTGAGTCAGTGAGTCTGCTTCTGTATTTAAAGTGCAATCTTTTATGATATTTAAAAAAGAAAACGTACCTTATCCAACCATTGCAGATGATAAGACAAGATATGAAATATATTTATTTAAACACAATTTAAACATACATTTATTTGATGCGATAAGAGTTGATTATATTATTGCCTAGTTCCTAAACAATGATAAATGTTGCACTCTAATACTGCGAACTTCAACAGTGTTAACTGCCAGTATTATACAGTGTGTCAGCTGGTTTAGTGAGAGCCAAAAATCTTCATTTAAAATGTACAGACCTGTGCTTACTCAGCAAAGTTATGAATCGTCCAAAGCACTGCAAGGCGCGCCAACAATTAAATTTATTCCGTGTGTGAGTTTCATATTTCAGAAGCGTCGTATAATTTTGCTTTCACAATCTTTTGCTAGAATATTCCGCTTATTAAATTTCGTTGTTTCCGTCTGAAATTTTGTTTACTTCGCAACGAATATTACAAAATACTCTTACCAGTTTAATATTTCGCAAGTACATATAAGAAGAGTTGGTTTTCTAATAGCAATTAAGTTAAAAGCGATCAAAAAATAAGTTTAACGTTTTTAGATACAACATTTTTATTCCGAAATGCGATTTTATTTCCTTTGTAGAGTACAGTACATTGTACTTCAAGACGAACATATTGCATGGACGGAAGAAATACGCAATTGAAGAGTAACAAATGCATCATAATTTTAGATACCAATATTCAAACCTAACGCAACTCGAAAGTTAGCAAGATCATTTCGTCCGTCTATCCATCCGTCTAATCATCTGTCTACACTATCATCCAATCTATCTACTGCTTTGCGATAACATCTCTGTATATCATAGAATACTTAATAGTATTCGTACTTCTAGTAAAAGTATGCTACAGCGTCATCTAACGGATAAAAACTGAACAACACAGCAACTACTAATGAGAGTTCTCGCGATCACTGGTATATTTTATTTTTGAAAAAGACAACTAACGCATTAGGAATATATCCTGTGTCACGGGGGATTTTACAAACATACATAAAACGGACACAAAGAACACCCAGACTCAGAACAACAATTTATGGATCACACAAAGTGTCGTCCATGTGGGGATCGGACCCACAACACCCAGCGTAGCAGTGAGCGGCGTGACGACCGCTTAAACCCCTACGCCATCCGTGCAGAATTATATATGACTTTCCAGCATAACACGCAGGGCCGAACACTGAGAACAAAGATAGACGGCCTCAGTCGCCAAAGTCAGTTGTTGAATACATTTATTTTTATCGTACAAATAAAGTTTCGATATTTCTCTTATTGAAATGTCACTATATCAAAGTATACTTATCTCTATTGTATAAAATAATAAGATACAAAACAATTTGCCTCACCTGGTTATCTCTCCACCTTTGATCATGTAACGCACCTCTGACATGGTACACAGAGTCCGCATCCCCGGACTCCGAACGTGTCCGACCATCTATTTCCTTCGTTTCGTCACTAAAACAAAATATCTGAATTTTAATGTAATTCTTGTTAGATATAAAATTAGGTACAAAATCTCCGCGATTTAAAAAAAATAGACAAAGAAAAGCATGGAAAATATTTTGGTTAATTACTTCGACATCCAAAAGTAGATATATTGAAATTAACTTCTGATACAAGATCAGAAGTTAATTTTATAGCTTAATGATTGTTCTCGCCTTGATACAACAAAAAAATATGTCTGAAGAGATGTGTAGATGTGCATAAGTACATTATTATTAATTCAGAGTTAATTGCGCATGGGGACGCGTCGCCACACCGCTTTACATGTTACATTTAACATAATTTTGCGACGCATGCCGTCGTTTTGTCAAGAAATTACTCTACAATTCCCCAACAGTATTTTTCCGTATGAAAAATACCTTATGTCTATTTCTGAACCCCTAACAAGGTGCATGGAAGTTAAGAGATGAGCACGGACCAAATGAGCAAAGAACTTGATCTCTCCAAGACTAAAATAATGAATCGCGAAAAAATGGAATTCAATGGACACTCGACGTCCAATATCATCTTATTTTATTAGCATTATCATCTTATAAGCATTATTTTATTTTATTATCGATATTATATTATTAATTTATTATCTTATCATCATTTTATTTCATTTCAGGATTAACGGATTTTCTATGAATAAAATACGGTAGTGTCTGTTGATACCGCTATGTCGGAGGCCGTGAAGGGCCTAATAGGCGATGTGCCTCGCCTACAGATGGCCAATGACAGGCTGACGGAGCAGGTGAACGAGCTGAGCGCTCAGTTGGCGTGTGCTGGAGCATATGTGACTCACTAGTTACTTTTTTAGATTTATTAGAAAATAATCGTCATTAATGACTACAAAAGCAAAAATGAATAATAGTTTAAAAAACTAAAAAACACACTTTTGTAACTAGTCGAACTAAAAAATAGCAAATAATACTCTATAAGTTCAGAAAGATAAATCATTTTATCAAAAATAAGCGTGGGGTGCTTTAGAAGATATTTTATAATATAATAACTTACTGTTACCAATATCTGTCAGTAAAACATTTCTACAACAATTGATATCTAGCACCCCACGCATTTTTACGATAAAGTGATTTTTCTTTTTGAACTTTTAGAAAATTCTATTCTACTTTTTAGTTCGACTAGTTACAAAAGCGTGTTTTTTAGTTTTTTTTTTAACTATAATTTATTAGATATCATTAAATACTGTAATGTTCACCTTTCCCAAAACACTCCATTAAAGTTATTTGGTCCGTATCCTTCAATCTATACCAACAGCCAATAAACCATCTGGAATCACTATTAACATCCATCACTACGTTTTAAGTTCAATTTGGTAAAAAAGCCCGCAGACTGGAGCCGAGTGTGGGAGGAAACTAAGACCATGTAACTCCTACGATGTATGAATAGACCTTTGAAGATACTACATACGTACAGCGTTTTATTTTCATAGTAGCTGGTCTGTTTTTATTTTCTTAGGGTGCATCTACACGGTGCAAGTAGCTGGAGCGGGTGATAACGCGGGTTTTTGCGTCAGTAGCATGCACGAGTTACTTGCACGTTTGGTTGATATAATGTGCGCAAGTAAACCGCGCGAGTTGCCCACGCGTACCCCGGACCCAGATAGTCCTCTTCGCGAAGCAAATACAAATGTCTCAACATGCAACAACAAATATTTTTTTAAGTAAAATAAAAGACTTTCTCACAATAAAATGAAGAAATATGCAAGTTTCTAGAATGCTTTGCTGAGGTAATGCAGAAATAAGACGATGTTTGCATCCACGCGTTTTAACGTTATTTAAATTGATTTTTTTATACGTATGATATTAATAAACACGGCCAGTTGGTCTAGTGGTCAGTGACCCTGATTGCTAAGCCGGAGTTCGTGGGTTCGATTCCCACCCAGGCCAAGTATTGTGTCATGAGCACGATCATTTATTCTGTGTCTGGGTGTAATTTATCCATAACATACATACATGTTAAGAATTATATTATATAATGTGTATGTATTTAGAAATATATAAGTATGTTTATCAGCAGTCTGGTCACCATGGCACAGGCTCTGCCTAGTTTGGGATCAGACGGCCGTGTGTGAAATGTGTGAAGTTATATAAGTTATAAACATAACCAATACATTTTTTTAAAAATATAGTAAAAATGTAAATAAAATTAAGTCTTTGTTCTGGATTAACCACGTCGTAAAACAAATATTTTAATCGTCATTTCTTATCGGTGCCATCCTACTTAGTTACGTTTAGTCTTCGTTTCAAAGAATTTCGACCTGAAAATTCAACGAACAACTCAGAAATAAGAGGAATAAAATAATTGTTCCGCTGAAGATGAAACAATTTTTTTTCGTCGTTCTTTATGTAAAGATAAAACAATATTCTTTATTGTACACCAATTACAATATGTTAGATAAATATTACAGACAGATATGTACAACAGGCGGTCTTATCGCTACAAGCAATCTTTTACAGGCAACCCTTTGGATGAACAAATCGACAGTAGTTTCTTGAACAATTTTTCACCAGAATAGTGAGCTATTTTGGGTTATTTTATAGCTCGAATCCGTATGCGATTGAGTGACTTACGCTGTTTTAACAATGTAGGTTTACTTAAACATTGTAACTCATCTGTTTAAAAAAAAATGAGGCGATATTTATACCTAGCTATCTCCTTTCTGACGGGCCGAAAAGCAGAGCGTGATTTTTCTTCATCAAATGGCAGCGTTATGTTCAAACCGTAAAATACTTAAGTACTTCACTGAAATATGAACTTTATCGTTGAATATTTACAAAACTTTCTATAGAACTCAATTCGATTCCAATTTTAAACTACTGATTATACAAAAACCGACCCCATGTAAATAGAACTTAAGTAATAGAACCTTGACCTACTAACCTAACTAGATCTGATGTCCACCTCACATTTCATCATTACGAAAACATTTTTTACTGCAACACCAAATCGTTATGACAGTAATAATTTCTTATTATTGAGAATGTCCATGATTATAATGCTAAGGGAAGTATAATTCTATGAGAGTATTAGAACGACATAAAAATGCTGGCACTAGGCTTTATTCTGGCGCGAAGCCAGGGTGCAATGTTCCTATTGTGTTGGGGGCTGCTGGATAAGCACCTTTTATATTTTGCTACAAATTTATTTTATATTCGTCAAGTTCAATTAGGTACCGGTTAATTTTAAGCGGGGCTTTAAATGCGGGTTAGGACCTTAACATGCATAGCTTTATTAAAAAGCATTGAAGTTTAGCATTGCAATTTGCTGCCTCGGTGGCGCAGTGGTAGCGTATGCGACTGCTGTGCTGAGCTCTTGGGTTCGATTTCCAGGTCGGAACAAATGTTTGTATGATCTGCAACTATTTGTGTCAGGGTTTGGGTGTTTTCTATGTATAATATGTATGTATTTACAAAAAAAAGTATTTCAGTATTCTATCAGTCAATCTAGCTTTCATAGTACAAGCTCTGCTTAGTTTGAAACTAGATGGCAGCGTGTCAGATGTCCGAAATTAAAAAAATAAATAAACAGTTTTATGAGTGGTACCACGGCCACCCAAAAAACTGGTGTTAAACATTTCACCGAGTGAGTGGGGTACCGGAGTCCAAACTCCCCCTCTTAAGTGATTCTGTGTGGGAGAGAGCTCAACGGGCGGCAGCGCACTTGTGACTTTTTTTTTATTTCTTTTTTTTTAAAGACAGCTCCCGTACTAGGAATAAATTCTGTATCGCGGGGGAGTTTACAAACATGAAACGAACACACAGGACACCGAGACTCTGAACAACAATTTTTGGATCATACAAAGTGTTGTCCCATTTGTGCCATGGGGGCATCGAATCCACAACCCTCAGCGCAGTAGAAGCGGCGAGGTGACCGCTTAAAGCATTACACCATCCGTTCAGTCGTTTATGTTACAGGTGTCTGTGGGAGACGGTAGTCACACACAATCAATTAACCTGTCTTCTCGTTTTGCCCAATCATCATCATCATCAACAGTCTTTAATAGTCTACTCCTGGACATAGGCCTCTCCCTAGAAAGGAGGTTTTGGCCTACTATACCACGCCATCCAGACGGGTTGGTATAAAGTTTGTTTCAAGTTTTTCTTCTTTTTGCAGTGCTGTTGTCGTTCGTAGTTTGCTCTCTTAGTCAGCTATTACGACACCTACGGGATGAAAAGGGGTGGTGACACTACGTATTCTTAATCTGTCACCACAGGGATTTCTTTAATGTCTCCACTATGCCATTAAAAAATCATATTACAAGACACAATTAGTAATACTGGACTTGTAAGATAATTCAATTAATGTCCAAATCACTTTAATAACTTCAACTAAGAGAGAAACAAAGTGGAACTAACAACCTAAATTCCAATTAGCTTCGGGAAGTTTCCAAGTTGCGAAATTGGGTTTGTATCGTGAGCAGATCTTTATGAGTTCTGCGCTCATTTGTCGCTCTGTTTGTAGAAACTGTTGCATTTTAATTTTAAATTTGGGTGTGTGTATTCTTGAGATAGTCTCTTTTTAAATATTGGATATGAACTTGGGCCCATGAGGGGCAGACAAACATAGATCAAGCAGGATCATAAAATCATCACAAATTTTTGCAATTTAAAAAAAATGAGGCAACGTTTACGCCCGCGTTAGCGGTGTGACGTATTAGGTATAGTCGAAAACTGAACTTAACTTCCAAATTGTGATATAACGTACAATATCACCACCCCTATATATCCCGCTGGTGTCGCAAAAGCTGAGTAAGGGGCCAACCTACACAGGACTGCAGCACAGCAAAGAGAAGGAAAACTTGACACAAACCCTATACCAACCCGTCTGGTTAGCGTAGTATAGTAGGCCAAAACCTCCTTTCCAAGGAGAGGCCTATGTCCAGCAGTGGACTAGTAAAGGCTGTTGATGATGATGATGATGATTATGTATCTATGTATGTGTGTAATTGTATATGTTACTTTTATTAGTTTTATATATTTTTGGATAAAAAAACTTTATATGTAATGATTATCTAGAACTCCTCACTGCGCGTACCTTAGATTACTACACCACTCAAAAATTGGCTGGTAGAGAATGCCCATGGCATAAAGTCCGCCGATATACATAAGTGCATAAACTTATAAATAAATAAATTAGAAATCTAATTTGGGTTTTGTATAATGTCATTAAAAGCATATTACAATGTGAAACAGAGAAAACTGTCATCTCACCGAAGACCTCATGAATGACGTGAAAGACTTAATATAGTAGAAAAAATATTTTAAAGTGAAAAAGTTTGTTTGTTTGGTGAATGCGATACTGTTAAGAAATACTGGTTTGAATTGAAAGAATATTTGAATAGTTCGTTTCCGTTTCCGGCAGAAAATTTCAATTATTTTCGACTCAGAATCA